TGTGTGGTTCCTGGGAGCCAGCTTGGTTCAATGGTGTTGTGGCATGTGCCATCAGTGTCATTCCTTGTTATGGCTGAATAGTGGCTCTCTCCCATACGTGCGCTGCATTAGGCGGGTTGACGTGAATCGTTCCGCTCTCTGCCTCTGCTGAATCCCGCTGTGTTCCGTGCACATTTGTACCTGTCTGTGTAGACGTGGCTGTGGAGCTGTTGGATATGTGGGAACCTCACGCGTGGTCTTCGAGGAGCAGCCCTTTTCTGAACTCACGTTCCCCTCAGTGAGGGAAGAGGGCTGCAGTTTCTGTCCCGACTGGTGCCTCTTCCTGCCTGTTTCGCAGTAGAGCTGGCCTAGGCCTCTATGGTGTTGGTTTGCATCGCCGATGGCCGATGGTGTTCAGTGTCTTTGAGGTCTGCTTATTGGCTATTTATCTTCTTTTGAGAAGTGTCTATAAAATCCTTTGCCCATTTTAAATTAGGCTGTTTGACTTTTTTTGTTGTTGTTGAATTGCAATAGTTTCTCACTTATCCTAGGTTCAAGTCCTTTATCAAAAGGTTTTCCTGTATTTCTTCCAATTTGTTATTTATGTATTAATTTTTTACTTTTGAGGATGGTATTCTTTCACCAGGAACCCATTGTAACAACAGAAAGTGTGATAAATGGTGTAAAATCTTTCAGTCTTTTATTGAGTGTTTGAAATGGAGCATGCAGCAGCTTACATGTGCCAAAGTTGATTTTTTTCCCATTTGGTCTGTGCCAGAGCCAGGCTAACTAAATCTTCCCCTCCCTATGTTTCGAGGATTTCTTATTGTCGCTGTGGAACCCAGGGAACACTTTCCAAGAAGTGGGTTTCCGAGGTGGAGCTGTCACCTCTGAGCTCAAGTGTTATGCCAGTGATCACAGTGCCTGAGCTGGGGGCGAAGCGAGCAGTGGTCGGTCGATGGTGTTTGAGATGATTTTAATTCCTAGCTGAAGCTTTGCTCATTAAGGGCTGTGGAGCCATCGGATGGTTTTGAGCTATGCAGCGGACGCTGATCGATTCCATGGTATGTACAGTGGTGCTGGGTGTTGCATCAGCCATGGTGCTAAGTGAGGTGACCAGAGGCAGGCCGTCAGTGGCTGCCCTGTCCATCAGCAGTCAGGCCTCACTTCCGTTTTCTTTCTAAAAACATTTCATTTTGTCTTGTGGATGGTGCTAAGAGCTCCTGTGTGTCGTTCAGCTTCTGTTTTGTGTGCACTGTGCCAGTGGTGCGTCCTTATGGTCAGTGGTGCATCTTTACGCCCATTGGTGTGTCCTTACGGTGACTCCGAGGCATGTGTGTATTAACCCAGGTTTTGCAGAAGAGGACATTGTGACTTAGCAGGGGTTAGATAACTTGCTTCAGGCTGCACCCCTGGCGAGTGATGGAGCCGGGGTCTGGAGCCCAGCACCATCCTGTTTCAAAGCCTGTTTTTCTTCTCCTGCCACTGAATGCTGTTCTATGGCTGCCGAGATGGCACCTCAGCATCAGGCACCTCCTTGACTCTCAGTGCCAACCCTTGTTGCCGAGGGTGCTCTGGGTTTGCTTCAAGTGGAGGCTCCTCTTCTGCCAAGCCCCCAGCCTCCCCTGATATCCCCTGCAGGCTTTGTAGGATGAGCAGGGGTCTCTTTCCCATGGCAGGTGTCTGCCCTCCCCACGGTTTTCATCAGTGGACATGCTTGTGCATTCAGGGTCGCTCTGCCTGGTCTCTGCTGCTGGTCTGCTGCTTCTATGTGCAACCCCACAGTGCCACATCCGCACAGAGGCAGGGTGGACGGCATGAGCCCTGAAATGCCCCAGGTTCAGCTTCTGTTCTGGGCTGGGCTTCAATGAGAAGGAAGTGTGGCTCTGAGATTCTGCAAGGTAACGGGAGCACATCAGGAGGAAGACCCCTGACTCCACTCTCATGAGCTTTCCAGGAACCCCCCCCTCCTGGAAACGAAATTCTCCGCAGCAAAAGAATGGCTCCGTGGCTTCTGAGTTGTTTGAATCCAGGGTCAGAGCAGCCTCCTTGGTTATTTTCTGCCTTTGGGCCTTTCTTCCCCTCCCCGTATCTCTCCTACAGTCTTTATCCATTCCCATTTTCTTCTTGTCCCTTGAGACTGTGTCCCTGTTCCAGTCCAGTTACACGAGAAGCTGACAGAACTGGGCCATTGTCAGTGGTTTTTGCTCAGAGCTTCCTGGCTGGGCTGTGGTTGTGCAAGCCAGTAATCCCCATGACTCAGGAGGCCGAGGCAGGAGGGTTGCAGGTCCAAGGCCAGTCTGGGCAACTTGGTGAGAAGTTGGGCTGGGGATATAGCTCAGTTTCAGGGGACCTTTAGGTCCAGTCCTAGTACCACAGGAGAAAAAAAAAAAAGTCACCAAAACCTTTTGTTGCACTGTCACCCCTCGGAGCTGACAACCACGTCTAAGTTCAAAGCAGACCTGTGTGGCCACTGACCCTGTGGTCCTTCACGGCACTGAGCTCTCTCCACAGGTGCAGGGCACGCAGCACAGACTGCCACACATCATCTTCAGTTGCCAATGACAATCATGGGTATGTTCCGGGTTTTCATCTTCATCACCGCGTCTTTCGGCCCAGGCCTCTAAATCAGTGTGGTTGATGTGATGACTTAATGCTTTGTTAATCATAGCTAGGGCCCAGTGCTGAGAGGGCTCATCCGTGAATTCCTAGAGGAGCCAGATATGGAGAGGTGCATTCAACAACATTTAAAAAGGAGGTATGCAAATGTCTGTTAAACATCCAAATACACATTGAGGAGGAAAGATGGAAAGATACCGTTGGTCCTCTGTGTCTGTGGGTTTTGAATCTACAGATTAAACCAACCCTGTACGGACAATAGAAGATAGGTGCATCTGTATTGAACACACGTGGACTCTTTTCCTGTCATTGTTCCCTAAACAGCACAGCATGGCGACAGCAGCCATGACATTTACACCGTATTGGGTATCGGAAGTGATTTGGACAACTTAACTGAAGGTTTTGTGTAAATGCCACGCCTTCCTGTGGAAGGGGCTGAGTGTCGTGGATTTTGGTAATGGGTGTATGGGTCCTAGAACCAGTTTCCGTGGACGCTGAGGACCGACTCCTTATATCCAGGTCATGCACAGCAGACATGTATCCTGATAAGGAAGGCACACCCTGCGTGAACTGGGCATTGTGTCATCCTTAGCTCTGGAGGCTGCCCTGCCCTGCCCTGCAGGCATGTTGAGAACCAGAGCCACCCTGCCACAAGTTAATAGCAAGGACTGCCAAACAGAAGCTGGGGTGTGGGTCCTTGTTATTTTTATATTTGCTCATTATAGCCGAGCTAAACTCGTCCCCTGACGGCTGGCTTTTATTGAACACACGAATGTCCTGAGACTGCTAGTCCACGTCGTGGAACAAGACAGTGGTGCTGTTGGTGGCTTGGTACTTTGTTTTCAGTGGGACGAGCAGTCTCAAGCAGGTGTGTGCAGTCAGTGGAGCTTTCTGAAACACTGACACTCTGGACAGAATGTCAACCTTGGGTTTGATCATCAGCTCATTGCTGGAGTTCAATAGCCTTTACATTTTAATTTTAACAAAGGCACAGTTAGAACAAGTGATTTAGACCAGGACTTAACAGAGTTATCCCTGGGTGCTGTTGTCAAGGGTTTTAGCAGTACTTACCAAGTAAGAGCAGAGTGCTTGGGTACGGACTAAGAACAGAGCTCTTGGGTACTGACCAAGTAAGAGCAGAGCACTTGGTTACCCACCAAGTAAGAGCAGAGCTCTTGGGTACTGACCAAGTAAGAGCAGAGCGTTTGGGTACTGATCAAGGTCTAATTTCTGCTTATGACTTTTGTTAGAATGGAAGGAGGAGAACCTGGGCTGAGGACAAGAGGAAGGCAGCGCTGTGTGGTGGTATTCATGTAAGGTGGTCTCTTCTGATGCTGCTGCGCTGATCCTGGTGGAGATATGGCCACTGGCATTATGTTCTTATCCGCAGAATGGGCTAAAGCCGGCACCGCATCCCTTGTGGTTGCCAAAGGCAACACACTGATTTAGTTGGTGCCTCCATGGTGGATGTTCGTGAATAATTTTAGTAATTTGTTTTTCTGATGTTACTTTTTCCATTTCCTTTCTGGTGTCCGACATTCCCTTGCTCCTTACTGTGTCTGACTCCACCCCTCCTGTGCTGAGGCACGTGCTGGTGAGGAGCAGAGAGTAGCTGCAGGTCCAGTGCTGGCCAGGCAGCTGGGTCTTCGTCCTGGGCACACGCTGCCATAGTGCGTGGTGCAGACAGTGTAGGTGGGAAAGCTTTGCTGGCCACCTCTCTTGGCAGGAAGCCAGAGTGCATCTTAATGAGTGTGTTTAAAACCTGAGCTGGACCCTGAAAAGCTGAATCCCAAGTGAGCTGCCTTCTGAGATTTTGCTTTCTTCTGCTGAAGAAGCTAGGCTTGGGATGGCCCTCCTCTGCTGCTGTTTCCTGTTTTGCATTTGGTATTTTTGTTGCATCACACAGAGGATCATCAGACAGGTCAAATTCAAATGTGGATGTGTTTTCTCCTAGGTGAAGGGTCACAGAAGCTTAAGGGTAGGGTGGCTTTTTCCTCCCGAAAGCTGGAAGGCTCTGCTGACTGCTGCAGGGCAGGCCACCTTGCACTAGCATACGTGACTGCAGGGCTTGGGGTGGGCTTGCTGTTCTGAACTCTGCTTGCATATGCAAAGACCATTTTTATGTTGTATTTGTCCAGAGGTACCCCACCACCGAGATGCATCCCCAACCCTTTTTATCTTTTGATTTAGGGTCTTGCTCAGTTGCCCAGGCTGTCCTTGAACTTTTGATCCTCTTGCCTCAGCCTCGAGTCACAGGGATTAACAGGTGTGCACCATTGCACCCAGCAGTCAATTTTGGATTTACAAATACATCCTCAAGATAATCATAACTTTGAGAAGAAAAATGTAATTCTTAAACCATCGTGTCTAGAATTCAATGTATATCTCTATTTTAAATGCAGAGTGGACGCAGATATCTACTCGGTACCTTCGAGAACAGCTGGCCAAGATTTCTGACTTCTACCACTTGGCGTCCACTGCGAGTGATGGCCCTGTCCCTGTGCCCCCGGAGGTGGAGCAAGCCATGAGGCAGTGGGAGTACAACGAGAAGCTGGCGTTTCACATGTTCCAGGTAATTCCTCCAAGGCCTGCAGGGGGCTGTGTGGCATGCTTTTAAAAAGAGCCAGTTCTGCGCACAGATGTATGTTGCTTAACGAGGATACCTGTGCTGAGAAGGTGCTCCCAGTGGTCTCATCACTGCACCGCCATGGCCTGCGCTCATGCCCACCGATGCCATGCTGAGTGCCTGATGTGTGTGTGGTCTGTCTATGACTATGTGAGTGTAGTTATGTCCTGTGTGTGTTAATTGTGTCTTTATATAAACCGACACATTCTGAGAAAGTAGCCTGACGTCTTTTATGACATCATGACACCTTTGCCCTGGGATGACAGCCTCTTCTGCATGTTTTTCTCCAGCTTTCTAGGATGTCAACCTTTTTATGCCATTAATTACTTTGCAATTGTGCTTTTAAATATAATCCTTGTATGCACCTTATTTTGCAAAATTGGATATACTTGTTCAAAAACTCCCCTGTGCCGATGCTTCCTGTCTCCTAACACATCTCCCTTAGGGCTGAGTTATTCCAGAGAAGGTTCATCTTCATTTGGTTCAGCTGCTGTTTAAAATGCAAACAGTCCAGGCCAGGAGCTGGGCTCTCCCCAACTGCTGGTGTGCTCATGTGTTCACACTGACCAGAAGGGGGCGCCGGGGGCCGTTTGCCTCATCCTCTTCTTGGTGAGGAGGCATGAGGCTGGAGTCATATCATGAGCACAGATTTTGAGTACCTACTGTGTTAATCAGAGGAAGGCGATGTGCAGTTTTCTACATTTGCCTCTTAGAACCTTAATTATAATATTCAGGTGATATGTGACTTTTTCTAAGAGCTCAAAGTAGGAAAATAAGGGGTTCCCTTGTGAAGTCACATGGCCAGTTTTTAAATCACCAAAAGCAACCCTCACGAACCTGCTTTGATTTGTCATAGAACTGTGTCAGTCGGCCTTACCTTGAGTGTCTGTGAGTTTTTGTGAGCTGAGAATTTAGTCTGAATCTTGGAACAAGTATGTTAGCATGTTTAATATTTTTGTAAAGATTACTTTACATGGTAGGAACATTGAAATCAACGTTGCTTCTATAAAAGACCATTAGGTCATATAGTGGTGAACATGACTGAAACATAAACAAGCTTGTGATATTTCAATTTGCCATATTCTGAAATGTGCACCACACCTTAGTGCTGATCCACACGCAGGCACATGTGCAGATACACGGCAAGGAGATGTGCAAAGGCGTCCAGAGGAGGGGCGGTTACATGTATGAAGGTTCTTTTTTAATTAATTTTTTTGAGGCTTGCATTTACCATTTCTTGTACTTTAGCACAAAATTGCATTTTTGTTCATTTAAAAAATATGTATTTAAATAGACAAATACTTTGTCCTGATTGAAGTTCATTTTAGTGGTCTAAAGTTCCCTTATAACCATTTTTGACTCACTCTCAGTATCAAGGAAACTAGAAATTAATAGTACCTTGGTGTCATGTCAAATAAGGTATCACTATAATTTATAATTGATTAGTATGTTTTCACACAAATCCTTGTTGACTGTTGTGGTGGGTCCCGGTGATATATAAAGTTTACTAGGAATAGAGCAGGATTTCACACTAACTATACTCAGTTTGTTTCCATGTTGCCGTGAATGTACGTGTTTTTTCCAGAAAATGGGTCATTTTGTTGTTATTTCGAAGGTTCTTTCATTCTGTGACTCATAGTACAAAACTGTAACAGAATGTCACATACGTGCCTAGAGCATCCTGAAAGAACATATTTCTGTGTATGTGTATTTGAAGGCAGTAGGCAAAAGGTGCATGTTGCGAGGGAGCAAAATTGTGAATCGAGGGGAGAAATAAAGAATGTCCATGCACTTCTGCCCCTAGCAGTGCTTTATTCACTCAAATTACTCAATACAATTTCACTCTATAGGTTCTTAATCAAGAAAATGACAATCCATTAAGCTAGGCACTGCAATAGACATAATCAATTCACATCAAACAATTCTAGATTAATTAATTCACAGCAAACAATTCTAGATTAATTCTAAGCACTGCAAAACACTCTTAATCATGACAGGCTCATGACATTCCCTCTGTAGGCTAAGTTCAAATGTCATATCAAAAGTCTTAAACCTTAGGCTTTATGTCCAGCAGATGTACACTCACTCAGACAGCGGTGATCAGGTCTGGAACCAACGCAGGCTTCTCCTGGCATGGAGTGGACAACCAGTTGAGGAAAGGGTCGTAGGGAGAAGTTGTGGCTCTCAACAAGGTCCAGATGAGGCCGTAAATTTTGAGAGCAGTGAGGATCACGCAGAGGATCAGGAAAGATGACAAGTGATGGGATGTCAGGTCCTCATCAGGCTCTCCAGCTTGAGTGCATCCTTGTTTCGGCTGGCTGAATCCCTGTTCATTTGCTCTATTATTTATACTAAATTTGGGGGCTTTTAATCCCCCTTTTAATCCTTATCAGCTACCACCGGATTTCTCAGTGACATAATTTACCCTGGGGTCAGAAACGTCTGGTCTGGTTGTCTCCACCCTGATCTTCCCACCTTTCCCTCTTTTCAGGAGAGGACAGCCTGCCTGAGACTTCACTCTGTTTATCTGGGTGAGGGGAAGTGACTTGTCTGAGGCCATACTGGAGGGCTCTGTGGGTGTGCCTGGTGAAACTGCAGGTTTCAAACTGGAGTTTTAAAAATGGAGTTGCTTAGGCTCAGGCCTCAGGCCATTCTCACAGTGCTGATGGTGTTAGGTCAAGATCGGCACTTGCCTAGCATGTTCAAAACCCTGGGTTCCACCTCGAGCACCATACTCAATCAGTAAAGCAGCGGTCTGTCTGATGGGCTCCGCCAGCCTGGCCCTCCTGGAGCCAGTTAGTGTGCTGAGTTGGATTGTTTACACGTGATTGTGCACTGCTTCCATTTCTGTGCATGACAGTGGGTTGCTATGTTGATTGTTGCCGTTGTGTGGAGGGCTCTGGGCCTGGGGGGGTTTCCTGACTTCCCTTGAGGTGGTGGTCCAAGCTGGGTGCTGTGATGGCTCTCCATGCTGGAATCCAGGGCTTCTCGCACGTAGGCAGACACTCAGGAGCACTTGGCCCCTGACCAGCTCCCCAGCCCGGGGATCTGCTTCTTTCCAGCTATCATTGTTCATCAAGTTTCCATCCCTGAAATCTCACCATGGACTTGATGTGACCCGGGAATGTGAGAGCTTTCAAATGTCCTTTCTTGTGGGAATTCAATGTTCTGAATTAGAATTCATCAGATTACCAAAAAATAAAAATTCCCAGCCCAGTCATATTAAAAAACCCTAGTTCTTCATGGGTTATAATTTGGACTGTGGCCAACAAGACCGCATCACTGTGACAGTGAGACAGTAGCGAGGTGGCGCCTAAGCTGAGGACTCATGGTGCCCTTGACGCATTCACTGGTGTTTCTCTAACGGCACTGGCGCAATTGTTCTTTGCCCACTGAAGGAAGGATTGCTGGAAAAGCATGAATATTTGACGTGGATCCTGGATGTCCTAGAGAAGATCAGACCGATGGATGATGACCTTCTTAAACTCCTACTGCCGCTGATGCTGCAGGTACAGTAATGGGACCTTGAGCCAGCTGGTTTTATGGGCAGGAAAAGTCAGTCTGAAGGCAATGATTAGGTAAGTAGAGGTAGAAAGGGGAACAATTCCCTTTAGAAGAGGAAAGAATGAATATCTGCCTCCAAAGCAAGTGTTTTCAGAAGAGGTTTAAAATTTTTTTTTTTTAAATTTTAAAATTTAAAATGCAAATCAAAACCACCCTAAGATACCATCTCACTCTAGTAAGATTGGCAGCCATTATGAAGTCAAACAACAACAAGTGCTGGTGAGGATGTGGGGAAAAGGGTACACTTGTACATTGCTGGTGGGACTGCAAATTGGTGCAGCCAATTTGGAAAGCAGTATGGAGATTTCTTGGAAAGCTGGGAATGGAGCCACCATTTGACCCAGCTATTCCCCTTCTCGGTCTATTCCCTAAAGACCTAAAAAGAGCATGCTACAGGGACACTGCTACATCGATGTTCATAGCAGCACAATTCACAATAGCAAGACTGTGGAACCAACGTAGATGCCCTTCAATAGATGAATGGATTAAAAAAATGTGGCATTTATACACAATGGAGTATTACTCTGCATTAAAAAATGACAAAATCATAGAATTTGCAGGGAAATGGATGGCATTAGAGCAGATTATGCTAAGTGAAGCTAGCCTATCCCTAAAAAAACAAATGCCAAATGTCTTCTTTGATATAAGGAGAGTAACTAAGAACAGAGTAGGGACGAAGAGCAGGAGAAGAAGATTAACATTAAACAGGGATGAGAGGTGGGAGGGAAAGGGAGAGAGAAGGGGAAATTGCATGGAAATGGAAGGAGACCTTCAGGGTTATACGAAAGTACATACAAGAGGAAGTGAGGGGAAAGGGAAAAATAATACAAGGGGGAGAAATGAATGACAGTAGAGGGGGTAGAGAGAGAAGAGGGGAGGGGAGGGGAGGGGGGATAGTAGAGGATAGGAAAGGCAGCAGAACACAACAGACACTAGGATGGCAATATGTAAATCAATGGATGTGTAACTGATGTAATTCTGCAATCTGTATATGGGGTAAAAATGGGAGTTCATAACCCACTTGAATCAAAGTGTGAAATATGATATATCAAGAAATTTGTAATGTTTTGAACAACCAACAATAAAAAATTAAAAAAAAATTTATATATTATTTTTAACTTTTAATTTTCTAATTTCCAATTTTTTTTTAGTTATTCATGACAGTACGGTTCATTTTGATACAATTATACAGGCATAGAATGTCTCTTATTCTAAATTAGGCCCCCACTCCTGTGGACGTACACCCAGGTGGAATTCACTGTGGTGTATTCTTATACTATGTAGGAAGACTTGGAGTGACCTTCAGCAGTCATGTCCGTGGTTTTTGGTTAACATGTAATCTTATTGCACTGGTCTCTCCCGCGTCTGAGCTGAGCAGACAGCCCCTAGAATAGTGCCCCCCCCGTCTTTTAGACGGAGTGCTACAAGAACAAAACAAACCTCCTGGTAGAGTGCAGAGAATCTCTACCTTCTTTTGATAATTCCTTGAGTTCCTGGCAGGTAGGAGTCTTCTCATCTCGTGATGTGTCTAAGATGTGATGAAATTTAAGTTCGCCAAGTGGGATTCATTAGAAGCTGTTCCCCACGGAGCCCTCACGAGCCTTTGATGATTGGAGCAGTGCCTGTGTGCTCGGGGAGCGGTGGCCCTCCCTCTCAGCTGCCCCTGCCGGGTGCTGCAGACACCTGGCCTGTCACAGGTCATCAGCCAGATGGGCTGCTGAGCGCCTCAGCTGTGGCCCTGTGAACCTAGATGTGCTGTGTGTGTAAAATGCTCTCCAGCCTTCAGACTCACAGGGGAGAAACAAGAGTGCATGCTACTATAACACTTTTATGTTGGTCAGAGGTAGACATGATCAAATGGGTGTGTTGGGCTAAACACAGCACATTATTTTAATTTCACCTGTTTCTTTTAGTGGCTACTAGAAAATCTCAGATCATATGTGTGGCTCAGTTCTGTCTGCAGTTGACAGCACAGGTCTGTGCAGGCTTCTTCTTGTTTCCTGGAGAAGCATCTGCCTTGGAGCAGCTGCTTGTGAAGGCGGGCGTGACTGGTGGCTTGTCTTCTCCTTGCAGTACTCGGATGAGTTTGTGCAGTCAGCCTACCTGTCCCGCCGTCTGGCCTACTTCTGTGCCCGGCGTCTGTCCCTGCTGCTAAGCGACAGCCCCAGCCTCCTGGCCGCCCACTCCCCCCACATGATGATCGGGCCCAACAGCTCGGGGATCGGGGCGCCCAGCCCCGGCCCCCCCGGCCCTGGCATGAGCCCTGTGCAGCTGGCTTTCTCAGACTTCCTTTCCTGCGCACAGCACGGGCCCCTGGTGTACGGACTCAGTTGCATGCTGCAGGTGAGTCTGCGCCCCGGGTGATGTCACATCAGTCCCATGTGGGAAGCCATTGGGCTGGAGATGGCACTTCTATTTCTATGTACCGAGTGTCGTTTTTCCCTCAACCAAGTAGTTTATGTTGAAGTTTGATTACTCTGCGTGGGATAAAGTGCAGAGAAGATTTGCTGCATTCTTCTAGAAGAAAGTTTTTGTGGTTGTCCTCTATTGAGGCCTTTCAGCAGCCCAATTAAAAGTCCTCCAGGGTACCCACAGGGAAGCCATTGCTGTCACCAGCAGCCCTGTTCTTCTGGAGGAGGTTTCTGTGGGCAGCGCTGGCTTCCTCAGTCATGTCTTGAGTTGGCTGCCTGTTTCTTCAGTCTGATCCTCTGGCAGGCACTGCTTCTGGCGGGCATGCTTGCTGCCGGTGCTCGAGGGTGCTGCCCTGGGCAGGTTGCTGGGCAGTGCCCTCGGGTGAGGCATGGCCTGCCCATGGGGCCCCACAGTATCACCCTGAGTTCATTCACATTTCCTGAGCTCTCAGGTGCCCTTTGGAACTAGGTGGCTCTGAAGGTGGGTCTCCACGGGAGCTGGAGCTTGCAGTCCTGTAGGGAAGGTAGAGTAACGGAGCTGCAGTGTCCTGTGACAGGACGAGGGTTGATAGGGACAGGCCCAGCTAAGGCAGTCACAGAGGGGATCTGCAGCCCAGCCTGTGGTCAGGCAGGCTTTCCTAGGGGACAGTTTGAGACAATGAATTAGAGAAACGTGAGGTGAGGAGGGTGTGGTGGGGGGTTCCTGGCAATGCCTGGAGCGAGGACCTGTTGTCTGACGTGCAGATTGGTGTTGGTGAGGTTGGAGTAAAGAGACCCCCTGTGGCCTTGAGCTGGGGCATCACTGATGGTGACAGCTATCTCTGCTGAGTCCGCAGCTCTCCTCCTCCTCCCTCTCACATCCTGATTTCCCTGCTTCCTTCCTAGACGGTCACTCTCTGCTGCCCAAGTGCCTTGGTGTGGAACTACTCCACAAATGAAAGCAAGAGTGTGAGCGCGGGCTCACCTCTGGACCTGCTGCAGGTCGCCCCGTCCAGCCTCCCCATGCCGGGAGGGAACACGGCATTCAACCAGCAGGTAGACTGTGTCCTGGGTGGTAGGTGTTCTTTCTCCAGGGGCTGGGCGAAGGGGCCCCCGCCGGGTTCAGCCCTAGTTCATCCCCAGCTCTGCTCCTCGCCCCTGCCAACCTCAGGGTTCTCTGCTGTTGCTGAACACAGAGATTCAGGAAGTCGCTCTCTTCCCTTCCCACTCTTGCTGGGCAGTCCTGCTCAGCGTTCTCCTCCCAGGCCAGTTGGTGGTGATGCGAGTGCCTGACTGTGACTCCCATGCTGGCGAGTGCTGTTCAGTGACTCTTCTGTGATCTTCTGGTGCTGCTGCTTTGTTTGAAGATTTATGCCACTTGAACAAGTGTTATAACTAACATGTAGAAGATCATCCTTGTTTTTTATTTATCTATTTTTTTTTAACCAAACAGTTTTCTAAATTACTAAAACATTGCTAGTTACTTTCCTGACTAGACAATTGGCTCAAAGAGGATATTTAAAAATTCTTGCCCTTTCTTACAATATCCTAAAGCAATCCCACCTGTTACAGTGCCCTTCACACATTAATTTCCATGGACATTTGTCATTGAGAGCTGGCACTGGATCAGCACTTGTGCACTGGAAGGCTGTCCTTGTGGGCAGTGGGCTGCTCTCGTCCCCTGTAGCCATGGCTGTCGTTCACCACAGGACCTTCTGCTAGGCAGAAACCCTGACATGACATAGACAGCCGCCTCAGCTTTGCAGCAGAGTTAATTGGAAGCGATTATCTTTCAGGTTCGGGCCAAGATCTATGAGGTGGAACAGCAGATAAAACAAAGGGGCCGTGCGGTGGAAGTCCGGTGGTCCTTTGACAAGTGCCAGGAGTCCACAGCAGGTACAGGGCACAGTGGAGGAGCGGGGGGCTTTCGTGGGCTGGGCCTCATGCCAGGTTTCAGATTCTGTCAGTGCGCTCCCGTGGTAAGGAGGGTCTTTGGCACAGCTCTGTGGGGAATTGTGAGGACATTCTTCAGGTTCTGCCTGTCTGGAATGTCTGGTTGGGTTTCATGGATGGTTCTCTTGGGAAACATGCCCAGAATGGTGACTTCAGGAAACCCCCTTGCCCCCCAGAATGGTGATTTTTATGCTCTGCTGTTCTGGTTTCCGTGGCCTCCCTAACTGCATGCTTCATTTCTCCATCTAGGGGTGACTATCAGTCGGGTTTTGCACACGTTGGAAGTCTTGGATCGACACTGTTTTGACCGAACTGATTCCAGCAACTCAATGGAGACGCTTTACCATAAGATTTTCTGGGCAAACCAAAACAAAGATAACCAAGAGGTAGTTGAATTTCTCCTTTCATTTTGCCTTTTATTTTGTTGGTATATTTTCTTTTTTTGTCATTCAGTAAACTCTGACAAAGCCTGTTTTAGAGTGTAATATTTTATGAAGGCTCATGCACTGTGAAATTTCTCTCATTGGACTAACGTGACTCAACATTATTAACACAAACTGTCCGCTGGGCTGGTCTACTTTATAGATTGATTGGAATGATTTTTATTGGCCCTTTACCATCCTCCCTTCATTTACTCTTAACAGAACATCCTTTGCTTCCACTTGGTGAGATGATTGACTATGACTCGGGGGATGCATTTTAACACACAGCCCAACAGAGGGCAGTGCATGAACATCTGTGGTTATGATCTTTGAAAACTCTTCAGTGCTGGTCAGGGCTTCCCAGAGGAACAAAACAATAAAGAGAAACTGTGTGTGTGTGTGTGTGTGTGTGTGTGTGCGCGCGCGCACATGTGCATGTTTCTTATCTGCATCTATCTAGAGAGAGAAAAGAGTGCTTTTTTTTTTTTTATATATTTTAAAACTGGCTGGTGTGATTGTAGGTAGTGGCAAGTGTGACGTGTGCAGAACAGGCTGGAGACCAGGGAAGAGTGGGGGTTGCATCCTGAGTCTGGGGGCTGGATTCATTCTTCCTTTGGAGACCCCAGTCTTTTTCTTCAGGCTGTCAGTGGACTAGATGAGGCCCACCCCTGTTATGGAGGGTGGTCTGCTTAACTCAAAGTCTGCTGATTTAAATCCTAATCACATAAAAAAAAACAAAACTTTGCAGCCATATCTCAACTGATATTTGACCAAAGAATTGGTAGCATAGCCAGTCACACGGACACGTGACATTGAGCAATTGTAGACCATTTTATGTTTTATTTTCCTAGTAACAGATATGTCATTAATGAGTGACTCTACAAACATAGCATTTGCAGTGATCTTTATCTAGTCTTGCGTGGGGGAATTAAAAGTGTTTTCCTCTCACAGTGAAAAGTGCCTGTGGTACAGCCAGCGTGGGCTAGGCCGAGGGAAGGCCAAGGTGAGGCTCGACAGCCCTAAGAGCACCTTAGCTGATGCATGGCAAGGGCCTTTGGTTCTAATGAAGCCTTTGGGAATGCACCGTGGAGGACAGGATGACCCAGGGCACCACCCAAGACCTCCCGGACCCACCTCTGTGTGAGCCTGGTGCAGAGGCTACATGGCTCCTTCTTTAGGAATCCTTTTATGAGTCATTGCCCTGATTCTCAAAGGTGCCACATGGGGTCAGAAGGTCGACGACAGGGATAGACCTGGCGTGGCGTTTCGCTCTGGTGGGTGGGCACAGAGTGCTTCAGCACCTCAGCTCCTCAAGAGGGAGCCCCACTGTGGGCCTGTATAATCCTGTGCTTCCTAAGGCAAGCTCTGGGGCTGCCCTGCTCTTTTGGGGTGGAAACTTTATAGTCCTTCTCTTTGTAGTAAAATTTCCTAAGGTGAGAGGTTTCAAGAGGTCTGAGATTTTTAAATACTTAAACATGTGATATGTGGAATGAAAATCCTGAAAATTTGAGGTATCCTTTTGTGTTGCTAAGCTTCTTATGCTAAGTGTTGGGTCACAGTGTGCTTTCCCTGTCGAGGCTGTTACCAAGTCCATCAAAACCAGTCAGGCTGGGGTCAGCCTGGTTGCTCCTTTCTAGTGGTCATGTTGGCCCGTGGAAACTCAAATTGCCCATTAGAAAATGATAGGGTGTCTTGTCAGGGAGAAATCACACTGTGAGGTTTTCCCACAGCCCTGTGGAGACTAGGTGCCTAGATGAGCTGTTGGAGTGCCAGAAGATTGAAACTTCAAATTACATTTTTAAAAGCTTCCTTTGTCTCAGTTTTATAACAAACACAGTTATTACTGTGTATATATATAGCACAGGTAGAGGTTCATGAGGAAATGTGTGTCCACTGAGAGTTTTTCCAGAAGCAACCCTTCAAGCCCGGGGGGTCCCAGCTCCTCTTCGGGTGCAGGGAGGCACCCATAGCCACCTGGAGTGTTGCCCTGGTCAGTAGTGCTTATTCTCAGTGTTGACTCAGCTTTGGAAGTATTGCATGTAAGCAAGTGAGTGTTTATTTTGTGGTTGACATACTGTCTTATGAGGAATATGAAATCTACATTTTTTATCCTGTAATTCAGGCTGATCACCCACTGATTTGACCCAAGAACACTTGAAAGGACAGACTCTTCAGGGATAGTTAGCATCCAGTAAATTCTTTTAGTTATCTATTTGGCCTTGCCCATGCCAGGCAAGTGTTCTACTACTGAGCCACATCCCCAGCCCTGTTTATTTTACTTTGAGACAGTCTTGCTAAGTTGCCCAGGCTGGCCTCGAACTTGCCATCTTCCTGCTTCAGTGTCCCAAGTAGCTGAGATTCCAGGTGTGTGCCACCTCACATGGATAATTTTAAAAATGTGATTAGATTTATGTGCATCAGAGTATGTGTGTATTCATGCAGGCATGCAGATGGCATTCCACTGTGCTTACTGTCCACCAGGGGTCACCCTTTCCTTGACTCTTGAGTCACTCTGTGTTCCTGGAATTCATAAGGGGCTACAGCTGTGTTGACCCTGACTAGGGGTGCAACCTTGACCTAGGTAGTAAAGCTGTGTGCCTCGTTGTTAAATAGGCACAGAGCACCTTGCCTCTTGTCTCTGAGGAAACACGGGCACTTTGAGGATTATGAAGCACTGTACAAGTGTATTTCAGAAATAGTGACCGTGAGCAATAGTAAAATAAAATCAGTATTACTGTTTCATGGGGGACCAACATGTTGACGCTGTGTTATGAAGGAGGATTGTGTTATGAAGTGGTATGGTTGGGATAGAAGGCCTTCTCTCTTCTTAGAAATGGACTTCCTTTTCTTGGGTTTCATAATGTGTCTTCGACTTTGACGACAGAGTAGACACAGACCGGTCCTGAGCCCCAAGTGCAGCTGGCGTGTGCTGCTCTCCTGGCAGTCCTGTCTGGGCATGCTCCAGCCCCAGCTGCACAGTGGGTTTTCCCACTTCTGTTTGGGAATCTTGAACCTCACTCTCCAGATTCCCTTTTCTCTGTAACTGCAGAGGGGAAATCAGGCCTCTCTGCTTCCTTCCGGGGAGCGGGGCGGGTGTCTGTCCCCAGGGGAGAGGCCAGGAGAGCTGCGGTTCAGGTTTCTGAGAGTTCTTGGTTTGGTATTTGGTGAAAGCCCTTTGGGATAGGTGGTGCACGGATTAGGACTTTCGAGACCTGGGTCCTGGCTGTGGTTGGCCTGTGGGTCCCCAGAGGAGAGTTGGAGCTGAGCTGCTGCCACATTGGGTGCCAGGCCTGGGGTGCTCCTTTACTTTCCATGTGGAGTGCCTCATTCCTTCACCCTCCTCCTCGCCCGCGCCCCCTGCTCCTGCTCTGTGCCAGGGCCAGGGTCCTGGGGTGAAGGAGTGAAAGCAGACCTAAGCCTTGGTGTTCTCGTGCCCTGGTTGGTTTCTTGGCCTCCACTTGGTGTGAAGGTAGAAGTCATAACACTCAGGGTTCTGAGGCTTGTGTGCCATAGGGGCCAGGCTGGCAATGTGCCCTGGTGGCAGGAGGCTGCACACAGCGTGGCCTGGAGAGAGGGCCCTAGGGCGACTGGAAAGGGCACGCTCAGTGTGAGCTGGGCATTGCCTCTGGGTGCTCCCTGGACTGCAGGCTCACTGTCACCTGGTCCTCAGGCATTTCAAGAGCGACTGTGTGCCAGGTTCTGTGCGTGAACCTCCCCAGGATTCGGACGCCATGCGGGCTAGCAGCTTGTCAGCTGGCTGTGTTTGCAGAGACACCATGGCTTTCAGTTGCTGGTAGTTGCTTCCTGCCACACTGACTTGCCTGTCTCCTGGGGAGGCAGCTGTTGCGCAAGGCAGTGTCTGCGGGACTGTGGCACTTACAGGTTCCAGACCTGCTAGTCTGTCTGGGTGATCCCTCCCCCAGGCAGCAGAGGGGGCAGCCCGGCCTTCCAGAGCACAGACCGCTTCCTTCCTCTTGGTTGCCCTCCTTGCCTATGGTGTAAGCGCAGAGCCAGGTGCAGTTTGGGGTGCCTCGGGGACAGGATAGAAGTGAAGGTCTCAAGGTGGCAGGAAGAGCTGCCTTTCACTTCTCTCTCTGCAGCCCCAGGAAGCAAACTTTTTCCTGAGTAATGAAAAGGGCAGACCAGCTGGGCGGGCGGAACTCTCGAGAACAGCAGCTGTGCATTTCCTCTCTCCCTGCTCAGACCTATGTGTTTGTTGCTTGCATTTGCTTTGTGCATGTTCACTCTGCCTTTCGGTTAGCAAAGATCTCCGTCTAGAGCAAGCGTCTCACTCATCGGGACACAGACAGGCCCTCCCAGGCCACCGGGCCTGCTTATGGTGGCATAAGCACTCTGTGAGCGCGGGCACCTGGAGGTCAGGCCCGGGTCCTGTGCTTGTCCATGCTCGTTTTCCTGCAGTGCGATGGCTCTGGGATGTCAGGCTGTCACTTCACCTACAGCTCCTCAGCCCCTAACCAGTGCGTAGCCTGGCAAGGGCTCAGTGAGTGTTTTCTTGGTTTGGGTCTTTGCTCATAACAGAGATGTGGGGCAGTGACCACCTCTGTAGGATGTGGCATGGAGGGACAGGGTGCCTAGAGCGATGGAGTCTGTGTCTGTCAGTCTGTCCAGCTCTGATGCACAAGAAGGCATGCACAGCTTCAGATTTCGGAGCCCAGTGGGTCTCAGTGTCTGGGGAAAGCCCGCTGGGGTCTGTACTGCATGGGATCAGGATATTCAGGACCTGGGCACTGCCTGAGTTCCCCTGAGTGAGGCAGGGCGAGGCTGCAGGGGAGCGTGGCTGTGAGGCTGGCAGGCTGGTGCAGTTTCCTCGTTGTGAAATGGGCATTCTACTTCCTGATGTGAATGGCCTGGAGCCACGGCAGGAAGCCCTGTGGATCAATATTTACAGTGTTGGGTGTAAAGGCAGGTGCTCAGTAAGCACTAGCTGCTGCTGTTACCGACCC